TGTCACCTAGACATCTCAAACCCCAGAGATTCAAATTCAGTCATCTTGGAACATGCTGTGTTACATGTACATATTTTGGAAAAGAAATTTACCTGAGACATCCTGGAATGTATCCTAATTCACAGCTATTGTTCTAATCTCATTTTCTGTTTCCTTTATTTCCTCTGTAATTTTCTCCTTGTTTTTAGCAGTGTGGAATAGTATAAAGAATGTTGAACTCAGCTGTTCCGGTCAGAGTTCCTAGTTCCCAATTTAACACTAAATAAATGTGTTTACCAGACAAAGTCCCTTATACTCTCCACCTCAGTTTAATTACCTGTAAAATTGGATTGGACAGTTTCTCTAACACTAATCTTCTACATATAATCTGATAAAATAATCAAAGTAAACAGATTCCTGGTGGAAATATTAGTTGATCCATTCCAATCAGATACAAATATTATGAAAATAAAGAAGTAAACCACAGATTATAGAGCAAACTATAGTCTAAAATGTGATACAATCATCACACAGTAACTATGTAATAACATTTCAAATTGTAATATATCTGACAGCCAGAAAAAAATCCAAAATAGTATATAATACTAGATATCCAAATAGAATAATTAATTCTCAAAGAAATATTCTGAGTGATTTACATTTCAATATTCTGAAGAATGAATTCTCACATATCTGCATACATGATAGATTCTTTTCTACCAATGATATCACTCTATATATTTAGTTTGGAATTTTGCTTTTCATGTACATTGACTGCAGTTCCTTTATCATCATGGAAGTTGTCATCTCTGAAATGACCACTTGAGAAAGTCAAGAAGCAAGAAGCTGCTGCTACACACTCTACTCACTATCGCCACAATGACTTCTCAAGCACAGGAAGTAGGGGAAGAGGTAACCAAAGCTGCAGTTTATGGATTCATGCACCTGACGGAGCATCCACAGATTCAACCTGCACATGGGGTAGTGAATGAAGAAAGCCTGGTGCCTGACATCAGCACGCTTTCAAACTTTGTTTCAAACAGCCAAGTACCTCAGAAAGAAGGGTTCTGCCTTGTCACCTTCCAGACCTCACACAAGTGCATCTTATTAGTCGAACCTAAGTTGTATTCAGATGGAAAGCACCCTTTAGCTTTTAAACATCTCCCCAAAGAAGAAGAATATTTGAGAGAGTTTAAAGAATGCACCACAGTGTATTTCTGAATTTTCCTTTACAAATGGAGTAGAAAGAGCAACAGTAATCTCTTTGAGTTGGTAGTCTTTATTCTTGGCCATGATAGTATATCAGCAAAGAACTTGGGCTATCCTAAAGGTTTAGTGGCTGTTGATGTGGTTGATGTGACTATTAAGTAATTAATCATAAAAATAGTCGACATAAACTGAAGCAGGAAAAATTTATTAGTTAAATGTTCAAACTCTGAATAAAACTACTTGACTAAAATTTTAGCTCTACCATTTGGCTAATAGGACTGTGGGCAATTTACTTAAAATCCCTCAGAGATTTTCTTATACATGAAGTAAGAGTAATAATATTACTCTTCATGTTATTGTGAGGATTAAAAAAGAAAATCTGTGGAAGGCATCTAACTCAGTGACTAACACTTGGTATAAACAGGGCTAATGGTAACAATAATTAAGTCAAATTGATTGTATTTAACAGACCTATCAAGATCATCCTGAAAGAATTTTTGAAATTATTATGGTAGTCACCCATCCATATAAATCCAATTTGTCTATAGGTAATTGACCAAATGCTTGTATTATACATGCATATGTATATATTTTTTCTCAGAATATTTTATGGTTAAAATGGTAGCCATATTTTACAGCCTGAAATTAACTCTATTTTATTATGCAATAGAATCTTTGGGAGGAAAATCCCATCATCCAAAAAGATGACTTAAAATTTTTTTGATCAAATTTACAGGTCTATGATATCTCTACAGTCATTCATTTCATTCATTTATTTCATTTGAATTTCTAAAACAAACTGTAAACTGTTTAATAACTTCTAGACTGCTTGAAGAGAGACATTATTCCCCAGATTACTAGCTCCTTAGTATGATTATGACATAATGAGAAATTCCTAGGATGGTGCTAAGTGTATAATACAGGTTCTAAATAAATACCAGTTTCCTTTTATTTTCACAGTTCCACAAGGGCTTGGACAATGTTGTCTTCATTTAGAATTAATAAGTCAGTGAACAATGTGATATAGTAGAAATGTATCTGGTGAATTTGAGGTTCTTGATGTCTTGTCACAGAAAGAATTCAGTGAGAGACAAAGTGATAGGTAAGAAATGGAATTATTTACAGAGAAACACACTCCACAGGGTGTGGGCCATCTCAGAAGGCAATAGAGCCTTGAAATATGGTATGGTTAATTTTTATGAGCTGGGTAATTTCATAGGCTAATGAGTGGAAGGATTATTCCAATTATCTTGGGGAAAGGGCAGGGATTTCCAGGAATTGGGCCATTGCCCACTTTTTGACCTCTTATGGTTGACCTCAGAACTGTCATGGTGCTGGTGGGTAGGTCATTTAGCATGCTAATGTATTACAATGAGCGTATAATGAGGCTCAAGGTCTACTGCAAGTCAAATCTTCCTCCATCTTGGACCCAGTTGGTTCTAACCAGTCTTTGTCACGTTCTATGGCTATGTCATTCTTTTAAAGCTTGTGCCCTGCTCCCTTCCTTCCTGTTTCAGAAAGAACATGAGTTTGAAATTAGGTTCATATAATAGGTTGAAAAATGCCCACAAATTCCTCCTTTCCCGACATGCATGTCCCTTGGCAATGTGACTTTGCCTCTCCTCCTATTAAGAAGTGGAGAAATGTTCTCCATATGGACTTAGCCATATGATATACTTCACTCAATGGAACATTAGAAAATACAATCTAGAGTCTTAAAAAGTGTTGAGTATTGGGTGGTTGTCATCTCTTGTTGTTAAAAACCCTCCACCATGTGAACAAGCTAAGGCTAACTTCCTGAATGATGAAAAACAATATGGAGAGAGGACCCAAGCCTTCCTAGACATTCCATCTATCCCAAATATGTGAGTGAGGTTTCCTAGACTATTCAGTCTCTTTCTAATCAAACGGATTCAGACTGAAAGAATTGCCCAGACAGCCTACAGAATTATGAGGAAAAATTAAAATGTATTGCTTTATTTGTAGTGAGGTGGATAGACCTAGAGTCTGTCATACAGAGTGAAGTAAGTCAGAAAGAGAAAGACAAATACCGTATGCTAACACATATATATGGAATTTAAGAAAAAGAAATGTCATGAAGAACCTAGGGGTAAGACAGGAATAAAGACACAGACCTACTGGAGAATGAACTTGAGGATATGGGGAGGGGGAAGGGGAAGCAGTGACAAAGCGAGAGAGAGGCATGGACATATATACACTCCAAATGTAAGGTAGATAGCTAGTGGGAAGCAGCCACATAGCACAGGGAGATCAGCTCGGTGCTTTGTGACAGCCTGGAGGGGTGGGATAGGGAGGGTGGGAGGGATGGAGACGCAAGAGGGAAGAGATACGGGAACATATGTATATGTATAACTGATTCACTTTGTTATAAAGCAGAAACTAACACATCATTGTAAAGCAATTATACTCTAATAAAGATGTAAAAAAATTAAAAATTAAAAAAAATGTATTGCTCTAAGCCATGTACTTTGGTGTTCGACTGCTGAACTGGAAAAAACTAACTGAAAAGGCTCATACTACAGTTCTACCACTTAATAAAGCTGTTTAAACTTGGACATGCTACTTACCTTATTGAAACTTAATTACCTTACTTGGAACATTGAGATAACTTCTGACTATATATTGTTGTGTTAGGTAGTTAGTCAGACATTAGCAGCAAGGAGGTGACAGTGGTGAGAAAACCAAGACGAAATCAAGTCACACACCCAGCCATCTGGGGACTCTCCCTGGACACCACCCAGATGGGTAAAACTATGGTCTGGTCGTGTGGTGGGCAGCTTACCCTGATAAAGAGGGGCACCGTAACACGAGGGAAATTCCCCGGGCTGTGCATGTCCAGACCAGACAGGGGTATAGCCTACAGTAAACCCAAACTCATTATGCCATCATTATAGCAAAATCTACATGTGGTTTTGCACCACCACCCCACCCCCATGCCCCGTGGGCATTTCTTACCAATTCAAGGGTGAGAGCATGCATAGCAGTAAACGTGTTACATATTTTGGGACTGTCAATCAAATAATGATCCGCTGTCACTCACCCCCACCACCCTGCAAAATGCTCCTTAAAAGTGCCCTTAAGCCTGTATAGGAATGCTGCTTTCAATTCGCGGAAAGAGCCCACTCTCCCTCTCTGAGAGTGTACCTATGCTTAAATAAACTTTGCTTTGTGCTTAAGCTTAAAGTGGTAGTTTGCTATTCTTTGCTTACTATCGTGGGACTGAGATTGCTGGTCTGGGTCTTCCATTGACCTCCTCGGTTGAAGCTATTTCGTTACAACACATGTCAACCTGGTGACACTGTGGTGAGAATTAAAAGAGATAACATGTTTAAAACCCTTAGTACAATGGCTGGTATCTGTTAGGGACTCAGCAATATTCCTTGCCTTTCCTTTCCTCTCCTCTGACAATTTCTGTCATAGAGTGTCTTTTGGGCCACAACATATGTTTGTACAAGATGTACCAAGCACAAAAGTATCGCCAACTAAAAATTGGCACTTGCCATCTGCCTCTACAAGGATCAAGTCACTAGCCACTGTGGCCACTGACCTTCAACACACCCTGAAAGAAGTTCAGGGTGGAGATCAGGAATGAGGCACTCTGTGCTCTGGGAAAAAATGGCAGAACAAGCCTTCACATAGTTAGATATTTTCAGGAGAAGATTTTATGACTCCAAATTCTTGCATCTTCTCGTATCTAGAAAAGCACTAAAATCACTGAAGGTGACATCTGCTCCTCATGACTAGCAGAAAGCCTCTGCCAAAATGTGTGCTCAACTGCAGGTATCCCCCTTCACTAAAACCATATATAACACTGACCATCCCCCCACCTCTTCGGAGAAGTTCCTCAGAGCTATCTGAGATGTCATCTATTGGGCTGTAGTCCTCATTTTGCTCCAAATAAAACTTAACTCACAACTCTCATGTTGTGCTTTTTTTTTTTTTTTCTGTTGACAGTACTAAGTCTAAAGAAGCAGTGGGGCCTGTAATACAATCCATGTTATGTTTCCCAAACTGTACGCTCAGGTTTAGGGTTTTCTTTGTGCAGAGGAAAGGGTGCCTTACCTTATTCACACAGGCCTAACTAGAACTGGATTGTATGCTTAACAAATGTCTGTTGACTTGCATCAAATTAACTTATTTGGTAATGGAAAAGTTGAGTTTTAAAAACTAGAATAGCAAAAGTTACCCTGGCTGATTTCAAAATCTAGACGAGTCATCCAAAACCCATCCTCACCTTTCCTTGATCTCCAGTGAATTTCATTTCAGTATTTATACACATGGCTACATTCTAGAAATAATCATCACTTATCATTTTTCAGCCTCAGAAAACTTAAGATGTAATGATGCACTGTACTTTGATTATAACCGGTATCCTCTACTGTTCTGACTTCCTTAATTGTGCTACATTTGGACTTCACCTCTTTTGATTCCCCCATTTTCTCCAGTCAATCAACAGCCTCTTTCAACACTCTCTTTTCCACCCAGCCTGGATTGTATTGAGAGAAAAAAAAAAATAACATAAAAATGTAGATGTTTTACACATTAATGTTCTCCAGCCACAGCTGGATGTTAAACGCTGCTTAGAAATCCTTGGCTACTTTCCTCTGCCTTTCCTCAAAGTGACCATTCTGCATCTTCATCACACTTCTCAACCTCCTAACCTATTCTCACTCATCCATCTACTCACTCATTCATTCAAATATTTACATTAAGTTTCTACCACACAATGTATATTTTGATGGGACATGGAGATAAAACAGTGACCAAAATATGGTGACCTTTTCTGTCAAGAAGCTTATATTCTACTCTGAAAAATAGAAGATAAACCAAAAAACAAAATAATTATAATTTTTAGTTTTATGGACAAAATAAATAGAAAGGATGCTCTGAGAGAATTTGGATGGGGAAGGGGATGTGGAGGTGGCATTCTTATATGTTAATCAGAATAGAACACCTTATGGAACACATTTAAGTTGGAATTTAAAAGTTGAAAAGATAGCCTTAAGAAGAGCTATGAGAAGATGCCCTAGCAAATAGCACAGCATTGGCAAAGACCTTGAGTTTGCAAAAAATACAGCGTTCTAGAACCTGTCAGAAGTTCAGTGTATCCAGACCACGGAGAAATTCTAATGTAGGGTTTAACCATACATAGGGAGTAGGGTGATTCATTCACAATCATGCAAAAGAAAGAAAGGAAGAAGGAGTGAGGGAAGCAGGGAAGAAGGAAAGAAGGAAGGGGAGAAGAGAGAAGGGAAAAGAGAAAGAAAGAAACTTAGAACACATGATAGCACAGTTAAAGAAGTAAAATGTCTTACTGGCTTATTAGCTCACAGACATTTTGGAAGGCAGAGAAGACAAGCTTGAAGGCCACACAAAAGGATACTATGCCCAAACTATACTGTAGGAGTGTGCCAGTGAAGAACCCCTGTGACTGCTTCTACCTCTCTTGGCATCAGTGACCCTGGGCACTGGTGCCTAATTCTCTCTCATCACTGGTCCTAAAAGCCTCTATTGCCATCCTCAGCTAAACATGGGTCCCATGTGGCACCTGTTTCCTCATGTTAATCTTTTGTGAATTGAAGTTCATTGTAGACATGCTTAGATAGCAGGCGCTAGTTTCCAAGTCTGTGCCTTTGTTGCAAAGGAGTCTAGGAGAGTAAATACCTGGTTTCTACCTTGGACTGGAGGAACTCAACTCATAAGAAATTTCCCAAACTTAAGAAATGTGCTTGGCAGCTAGATGCCATGACATTTTTATGCTGTGAAACGTATAATGCCAAAATCTCAGAAACTTACAATGGAAGTTCATTTCTTGCTCATGTTTTATATATGTGTGTGTGTGTATATATATGTGTGTGTATATATATGTGTGTGTGTGTGTGTGTGTATATATATATATATACACTGTAGGTTCTCTGATTCTCTGCTCCATGTTTTCTCATTCTGGGTTGTAGGTTGAAGAGCAACCCCTATACCAGTTATGCCTTTTTTTTGTGAAAGAAGCTAAGATATTCCATGCAATCACATTTAATGCTTCAGTTTGCTAAACATCATGGCTATTCATATTCTTTTGGCCAAATTAAGTCTCACGCCCATTTTGTTAAGTTAAAAAATATGAAATGAAAAAATAGACTTCTCCAATTGCAGGGGCTGGGGAAAGAGGAGAGGAGAAGTAAATATTTGTAAACAATAGTCTATTAACACAGTCTAACCTCTTAGTCACAAATATTTATTTCCTTTTCCCCTGCACAGAAAACATACCTCAAGGAAGACATCCTAAATGTCTTATCCAATCAGGGCATCAGACTGTGAATCCATCATTTTGTGATAATCTCTACTTTATATCTAAATGATGGCACTCCTCCAGCTCACACATCCATCATAAAATGGTATATTATCCACCAAAAAGCATTACCATTTGAATAGAGAATAATGAGAGACACAGAGCAATCAATCACTGGTCCAACAATATCTAAAATTCAGCTAGACAAACACGGCAGAGATCCCTCTTCTTGGTAGTTGAGCATGTTCCTCAATTAGTTTTTGATTCTGTCTGCTGGGAGGAATTCCTCAGTTCACTTTTCCCCATGGGTCTAAGCCTTGCCTTCTGGGAAGAGTTTCCTTTTGATTAGTCTCCTTGGCAACATGTGATGAGAGTTTTCTGCCTTTTTCTTTCCAATAGAAATTAGAAGCTAAGGGCTTCCCTGGTAGCGCAGTGGTTGAGAGTCCGCCTGCCGATGCAGGGGACACGGGTTCGTGCCCCGGTCTGGAAAGATCCCACATGCCGCAGAGCGGCTGGGCCTGTGAGCCATCGCCGCTGAGCCTGCGTGTCCGGAGCCTGTTGCTCCGCAACGGGAGAGGCCACAACAGTGAGAGGCCCACGTACCGCAAAAAAGAAAAAGAAAAGAAATTAGAAGCTAAAAGTTCATTTTACATATTGAATAGTCACAAGCTCTTCTACAGATTAGCAGTGACTTTAAAGTTACAAATCTCTCAAAAACAGGGTTGAATTTTATTTTTTACCAATTTGATGCTAATCAGTTTAATATTCCAATAGCCATACAAACTGTTATTTTGGAGACATGTTTTTCTCCTTACATTAATTCCAGATATTTTCAGTATACCTGCCTTTCATTGGATCACACTCTTAGCTTAACCTATTCTGAACTATTTAACTCACCTAAAAGGACTTACAAAAGGCAATTCAATAATAAATAAAATACATTAAAATCTATTCTGAGATTTTAACAAAGAGCTAAACCATGCTTATGATTTGTGTTTTCCCTTGAGCATGTGTCTTAATAGCTACGTTCATGATTTGGTCTTTGACCTAAGGATGCATCTTTTTTTTTTTTTTTTTTTGTGGTACGCGGGCCTGTCACTGTTGTGGCCTCTCCCGTTGCGGAGCACAGGTTCCGGACGCGCAGGCTCAGCGGCCATGGCTCACGGGCCCAGCCGCTCCGCGGCATGTGGGATCTTCCCGGACCGGGGCACGAACCTGTGTCCCCTGCATCGGCAGGCAGACTCTCAACCACTGTGCCACCAGGGAAGCCCCTAAGAATGCATCTTAATGAGGTTTGGGGTCTCAAAACATTTCTCAATTTTATATTTACTGCTTATAGAAGAGAACCTATTATATTTCCTAACCCTGCAAGTCTCAGATATTCAAAATTCTAATTTCCTTCATATCCTTTCTTGAAAACAAGCAGGTTTGTTTTTTTTTTTTTTTTTCCTGAGCTCATTTCTTGCTGGTAGTATTATATCCAATGCAGCATAATACCTAACCCTCATAACAACATTTACTTTCCAAACCTTATAGGTCAAAGCCACAGTTCTATTAGACACATTACCTGCCTTCCAAATTATCACAGCTGATGGGTTGTTGTTTTTTTTTTTTCCTAACTGCATAATATGGGGCACTGTTTTTCCAGTTTCTAATAACAGTTTGGGGAGATTTTTTTCTTCCTTCTACTGGTCCCAAAGCCAATGTTACATGTACTACATTTTTGTTTTAGGAGTACATTTCTAGGTGCCAATGTTTGTATTAGTCAGCTTTCATAATCTATGTTGTGTAACAAACATCCCCCAAAACTCCTGGCTAACAACACAGGTTTATTTTTCACTCCTTTTGTCTGTACTCTCTGGGATAACTGTTCTTCTGCTCTTACCTGTGGGAAGTTTTGAGTCTTCTACATTTGTCCTCTAAGACTGCAGGCGAGGGTGAAGGGACAGCTCTAACCAAGAACATGACTTTTCTCATACCAGAGGGGAAAAGCAAGAGAAGCTAAGCCAAAGCATGTCATTGTTTTTAGTTCCTGCTCAGATATGGCATATAGCAGATCTGCTCACACAATGTTGACAAAATTTAGTCACTTGGCCAATGGGATGAAAAATTATAATCATTCATTGGGAGGTTAACAGTGAAAGAGTAAAGGAGAATAAATATTTGCAAACAATAGTACAACTTACCACAGAGTGAATGTAAAAACAAATTTGATAACCAAGTCCTCAGGAGCTATAATAATTAGAGTTTAAATAAACAAAGAAGAGTCAAAGAGGAAGAATCAACCAGTCAGATAGTAAGAGTATCAGGGAAGTATGAAATCATGTGAACAAATAAGAAGGCAGTTAAACAAAAAACAAGTAGCTAACTCTGACAAGAACCACTAAGAGGTTAAGTAAGTTGAGGCCTAAAAGATATCTATGGATTGAGGAAACATGAAGATCATTGGTGAATTGGACATGAAAAATTTTAGAAGAGCAGAGGAGCTATTACCAGGTCAGAAATCTATGTTAAAGAATAAATAGAAGATTGTGAAGTTTAAAAGACTGATAAATTATACCCTCTCTTCCCTACCAGTTTCAGATTCACATGATAAATACATGTAGGAATAAGAGCTATAGAGATCAAAATAACAAATTTATAACTAGTAAAACTGAAGTGGAGACTAAAGCT